GATTTGTAGACATACAGGAGTATTTTGAACTGGATTCGAAAGTGAACCGGTAGCCAGTGCAGTGAGGCCAAAACTGGTGTAATGTGCTCTCTTTTGCCTGTACTGGTTAAAAATCGAGCTGCTGCATTCTGGACCAGTTGTAGTCGTGCAATGGAGGTCTGACTGATACCAAACAGGAGCGAATTGCAGTAATCAAGCCTAGATGTAATGACTGCATGTATTACTGTCTCCAGATTATTTTTGGACAATATGGGCTTCAGTTTAGACAGCTGCCTCAGTTGGAAGAAGCATGATTTAACGATCATGTTTACATGATTGTTAAGCTTCAGGGAAGGGTCCATTATCACGCCCAGATTAGTGACTCTTTGTTTTTCTGACAGGGTTAGAGTGGATAGGTCGATGCAGTGGTTTGTGATTGTGTTGTTGGGAGGGAACAACATGACTTCAGACTTCTTTTCATTGAAGCTTAAGAAGTTTAAAGCCATCCAATCCCTGATGTCAGCCAGGCAGTCGAGCAGAGGTTGAATAGAGCATGTACCATTGTGTCTTAGTGGGAAGTAAATTTGACAGTCATCGGCATAGAAGTGGAAGGGCATGTTGTGTTTCCGGAAAATAGCACCAAGCGGCAGCAGGTATAAAGAGAATGGTTGAACTGGTTGAAACTGTCCAGATGACCTGAATCCAAAAATGTTGGATTGTATACCTGGATTATTGAGCATGGACTTTGTTGTTTTCAACCAGTTTGACAAGACTGTCAACAAGGAAGAGGGCCGGCAATGGAGGAGGGGGCGTACCAAAGAGACCATCTTATCACAAGCAGAACTGGTTTGTTCCACTTTGGAGTAAGCTGTTCGAGGAAGAATCGGTTTTGTTGTGGGTTTCATTGACTGATGAAGCCTTCTGGACAGAAGGCGAAACATTTCAGCAAAATAAAAAAGAAACTGTCCAGATGACCTGACTGAAAAATGTTGGATACAATTTATGGTTTATAAATTACAGTTCAGATGTTTTTGTGCAAACTTGCACAGGTTTTGAAATTCTGTTAAATATTTACTAAATATGAATCAATGTGGTTAAGACTGTGAAGTCCGTATATTTCATATTGGGGTTTTGAAAATATAACAAATGTTAGAGCAATATGGTTAAAAATAATTGAAGTCTGTATTTTATTTTGAGTTAAAGGTTAATGTAATAAGGTAGGCTGAAGTATGTTTACTTTTGTATTTATATATTTTGAATTATTTGTCTGTGATGGACTGGAGACCTGTCCAGGTGTCCCCCACCTCTCGCACAGTGATGGCTGGATATGGGCACCAGTGACACCAGTGACTCGAAAAGGAAGAAGTGGGTAAAGATGATGGATGGATAAATTATTTGTCTCTAGATTTTTATTTTATTTTGTTTTTTTTTTTGTTTTGGGGGGGGGGGGGGGTAAGTCAGGCTTCTAAGCTAACCTAATACTGGTAATTTAAGTTACAGAATTTTATGCACTCCTATATTTTTTCCTATTTTTGGTAGAAATTTAAAGTGAATAAAAATGATTTGATACAGTAAGGAACTAAAATGACTGTTTTAAATAAATGTTCTATTTGTTTACATTGTTGTTTAATCTTTTCAGCTTGTCAGTTACATAACTGAAACTAAATTTATGACAATTTCAATAGAAAAATCGTTTCTGATGTTAAAAAAATCGATTTTGAATTGTATCGTGACAACAAAAATTGGAATTGAATCGGATTGCCAGACACTGAGAGATTCGCACCCCTAAGTGGCAATGCCCCCGATGTCCATGCAACGTTGCAAAGGCGTGTCAGCCAAGACAGCCCCACAACATCCAGAGCCTCATGCATATCAGGGTGAATCTCATCCACTCCCGGAGTCCTGCCGCCTCTGAGCTTTTTAACTACCTTGGTGACCTCAGCCACAGTTATGGACAGATCAACCACAAAGTCCCCTGACTCAGCTTCCTCCATGGAAGACGTGCTGGTGGGATTGAGAAGGTCCGAGAAGTATTACAACAATTTTCAGTCAGGTCATCTGGACAGTTTATTTTTTTTGTGTGTGTGCTGAAACATTTCACCTTCCATCCAGAAGGCTTCATCAGTCAAGGAAACACACAACACAAAACTGATTCTTCCCCCAACAACTTACTCCAAAGTGGAACAAACCAGTTATGTTGCTGCTAAGATGGTCTCTTTGGCATGCCCCATCCTCCAGTGCCGGCCCTTTCCCTCGCTGACAGTCATGTCAAACTGGTTCAAAACCAACAAAGTCCATGCTCAACAATCCAGGTATACAATCCAACAATTTTCAGTCAGGTCATCTGGACAGTTTCTTTTCTATATGAATAAACTCATTTGAATTGAATTACATGCTTACAGAGCACTTCCTCTTTCCTTATAAAAGTAAGAGCTATTCCTTCAGGTTCACGTTTTGTTTTAGATGATTCTAATTTACTTTACAAGTATTCCCACTAAATTTAGCTGCTCCTGGGATGTGTAGTGTTGGTTTCTGGTAACCAGGGATCATTACTTGTTGGCTGGTAGCTACAAGCAGCCATCAGGACACAGTTAATTGCTGCCATCTGTCAGCTTAATGCTTCCACCCTGTCTGCTGGCTGCTTACCCGTTAGCTGTGTTTAATTATCTTCGCAGAAACATCTGGACTGACTAACTAATAAACCTGGTTCATTGGGGGAAGCTGCGTTTGAGCTAGCTAACCGCTAACAGTCAGTCTGTGGCACGAACAAAATGTCACTACTCCGCTCGGTGAAAAAATGTAAAATCATTTTGTCTGGACACATTATTCCTGAACGGTCTCACGCACACGCTCTGACACACTAGCACGCGCGCACACACCCACTGTCACGGTACCGTGAATATCGGCGCTGCTCCGGTCGCCACTTGTCGGCTCTCTGGTCGCAGCAGAGGCTGGGTCGGAGTGGTCCAACTCTCCCCCCACAGGCGTCTCAGGCTGTCCACGAAACGAAGGACGTCTCTCACCAATCCTGTCGTCGCACCTACTCCATGTTTCCAGTCTGCTTGTAGCGGTCGATCGCTAACGCGCACGCCCTCTTTTCTTTCACTAACAACAACATTACTAAGTTACGTCCCCCTGCTGTCACGTGACCAGTCTTTGCAGCTAAAAATAGATTCAGCGTAAACGACCAAGGCAGAGACACAGACAGGCGGCACGCTGCAAGACAGACAGGCAGGCAGCTGACAGACGTACAGTGACCTGGCAGAGAGACAAACAGGCAGGCAGCTGAGAGAGTACAGTGACCTGGCAGAGAGACAGACAGGCAGGCAGCTGAGAGACGTACAGTGAACTGGCAGAGAGACAGACAGGCAGCAAGCTGAGGCACAAACAGACAGCAGGATGAGAGACATAAAGGCAGCAGGCTGAGAACTGACATGTTGACAGGCTGAGAGATGGACAGGCAGAAGGCTGAGACACAGACAGGTGGCAAGCTAAGAGACAGACAGGCAGCGGGCTGAGACAAAGACAGGCGGCTGGCAGATAGAAGGACAAGCAGTTGGCTGAGAGACAGACGGTAGGCTGAGAGACAGGCAGGTAGATGGCTGAGACAAAGACAGGAGGCTGGCCGATAGAAGGACAAGCAGTTGGCTGAGAGACAGACAGGCAGGAGGCTGAGACACAGACAGGCAGCAGGCTGAGAGACAGATAGGCGGTTGGCAGAGAGACGGACAGGGACTAGAAGGAGAGACAGACAGGCAGCAGGCTAAGAGCCAGACAGCAGGCTGAGAGACGGGCAGGCAGTAGACTGAAAGACAGGCAACAGGCTGAGAGACAGACAGGCAGCATACTGACAGACAGACAGGCAGTAGGCTGAGACACAGAAAGGCAGCAGGCTAAGAGACAGACAGGAAGCAGGTTGAGAGACAAACAGGCTGCAGGCTGAGAGACAGACAGGCATCAAGCCAAGAGACAGACAGGCAGTAGGCTGAGATACAGACAGGCGTCAAGCCAAGAGACAGACAGGCAGTAGGCTGAGATACAGATAGGAGGCTGGCAGTGAGATGTACAGGCAGCAGGATAAGAGACAGACAGCAGGCTGAGAGACAGACAGGCAGCAGGAAGACAGACATACAAGCAGAAGGCTGAGAGACAGACAGGCAGCAGGCTAAGAGACAGACAGGCAGCAGGCTGAGAGACAGACAGGCGTCAAGCCAAGAGACAGACGGGCAGTAAGCTGAGATACAGATAGGAGGCTGGCAGTGAGATGTACAGGCAGCAGGATAAGAGACAGACAGGCAGCAGGAAGACAGACGTACAGGCAGAAGGCTGAGAGACAGACAGGCAGCAGGCTGAGAGACAGACAGATAGCAGGCTAAGAGACAGACAGGTAGAAGAATGAGACACAGACAGCAAGCTGAGAGAAGACAGGCAGCAGGATGAGAGACAGACAGACAGCAGGCCTAAACACATAAAGGCAGCAGGCTGAAATACAGGCAGGCAAGCTGGCAAAGAGACAGGTATGCAGCAGGCTGAGAGAAATGCAGGCAGCATGATGAGACACAGACAGGAGGCTAAGAGACAGACAGCAGGTTGAGAGATGGACAGGAAGCAGGATGAAACACAAACAGGCTGCATGCTGAGAGATAGACAGGTGGCAGCAGGCGGAGAGACAGACATCAGGCTGAGACTCGGACAGGCAGAAGGCTAATGACCCTTTTCCACAGTTAAGCCCCCAGTATACTCCCGCGTACGTCCATTCACACGTACGTACGCGTGCACTGTTCACAGAGGGTTCAGGCTTCATACTCGTACACCCTGAGCAGCTGCAGAGCAGCTTCACAGACAAGGGGCGTTTACTTTCGGGACAAATTGAGGTCATCGATTGGTCATTTGCTGACACGCCTACTGGATTGATTGACAGGTCGGGAAAAAATAAAATGAGCGCTGGCAGCTTCAGCCGCAGCAGTGTTCTGTGTGTAAGGGTCCCACTGCCTGCAGCCTGCCTTGCTGATGGCCGCTGATTACCAACACCTGGCAGCCATCAGCCTGATGAGCCTCTCCATCTACTTAAGGCTGCAGTCCGGTGTGACTCGACGCTGGAGCATATCACCTCTTATGGTATTGTACTGTTGTGAGGCAAATGTCTTAGTGAAAAGAATTTGTTCACCTTTTGCTCTTTTTTCCAGTTTCCTGGTTCCTCGTGCTCTTTGGATTCCCTCGTGACCTGATTTGGATCCCTTGGCCTCTCAGGTATTCCTCGTGCCTCTTTGCCTCCAGTGCCAGCCTTCCTCGTTCCCCTTTTGGACTCTCGTTGGATTTCCCTCTGCTGCTCGCTCTCCTTGGACTGAAGGACCAGCTCTCCCCTTCGGGTTGGACTGTAAGGACAAACACTCATTTAGCAAACAACTTGGGCCTTCCCCGTTGGACAGCTAATAACCTGTCGTCCCTCTTTCCAGGAGCCTCAGACCAGCAGCCTGTGGATGTCATTTAACTCACTGTAAATAATAAACACTGTTCTTTTGTATTTCCCCCGTGTCTGCCTCGTTCTGGGTCTCATATCATCTGGGTTCCCCGCGCACTCCGAACACTGTGTTTATATGTTGTTAATAAAAAGTTCTAAAAATAAATTAAAGCTGCAAGCTGCATTGAGGCCCTCAAAGCGCCATTCTGGACTTACGGCGACCGCGGGAGCTACAGCTAGTCCACCCAGTCGCCATTGCGAACTCTATCGTGACAATCCCGCACATGTTCACCACAGGGCGCATTTGCCGAATCTTCCACATCGCCTTCCGTCTATGTCAGTACTTGTCCAGCTTCAGGTCTTACAAGTATAGGTGAAATCCGACCTGGCGAAATCCGACCTTCTAGACGGGCGTTATTGTGACTTGCTGTTTTGTTGCAAATGTTTGACGAGCACTTCCTTTATGCTTTTCAGCATGTCATGTGTGGTAATCAACAGTTAGCGAACAAAGTTTCAGTCTAATATCGTACACAGGGCGAAGCTGGAAGAGTCATCCAATAATCAACAGTTTTTTCTCTGAGTAGGTGGGGCTTATGTTATGTTATGAATCAACAATACCAATGTGTCTACAAGTACTCACTGATGAAGCACAAAAATTCAGTTGCAGATCAGATGATGTATCACACTTGATAGTCCGGTAGACTCGGTTCGTTTCGGGACCAATATTCATGACCTTTTGTTTACATTTGAGCTGGTGAGTTTGCATTCACACTGCACTGTGCAGTCGAGTCAACCTGTTGAACCAACCTATTCCTCCGCTCGCCTGTGGGGGTGCTATACCAAAAACTATTGAATGAAATGGCACAAAAACCTCTGAAGACACGTCTTCTTCTTCTTCTGGAAATAAAAATAAAAACGAAGTGGCATCAAGTTTTAGCAGTTTTAGGAGTTATATTTTGTCATTTTTCAAAAATGGAATTAGCATGAGCAGAAGATGAGACAGAAGACCATGGAGAATATTGTTTTTCCACACAAGGCAGCTGACGGCTCCATATAAGGTCAGAGCAATGCGTGTTTGTTTACCCTGCGGAGCGGGGTCTGGTCTGTTTACATTCACACTGTACTCGAACCGCGCTGGAGTTCGCTTCTTCCGGACCGAGACCTAGGTTTTAGCCCGGGCCAGAGTTTGCCTTTTTGTTCCGTGACAGAGTTCGATGGCACGTTCACACCTCCCTAAACGAGCCGGACTTACAAGGAAAACGAGCTAGAGTTCGATTAAAGCGGACTAAACAGGGCTAGTGTGAATGCACCCTATGATATAACTTTTGGAATAATGTAGGGGCGCACTGGAGTTTAGTGTTAAACAACAATACCAATGTGTGTAAAAGTGCTCACTGATTATGTACAATAAATCTGGTACAGATTGGCTCATGTATCACTGAGATATAACTGTTGGAATAATCTAGGGGGCATACTGGAGTCATGTGTTAAACCACATCAATGTGTCTAGACATGCTCACTGATGACGTACAATAAATCTCGTTCAGATCAGATTATGTATCACTGAGATACAAAGTATAGCTGTAGGAATAATGTAGGGAGCGCTATGTAGGCTATTGGCCACTTATCATGGATTCCTTTTCAAAGGGTGGATAATGATCGGACATCCATCCATCCATTATCTTTACCCGCTTATTCCATTTTGGGTCACGGGGGTCGCTGGTGCCCATGTCCAGCAATCACTGTGCAAGGGGCGGGGTACACCCCGGATGGGTTGCAAGTCCATCACAGGGCCACATAGAGACAAACGAGACAAACAACCATTCACTCTCTCACTCACACCTAGGGACAATTTAGAGTTACCAATCAGCCTAACATGCATGTTTTTGGTCTGTGGGAGGAAACCAGAGTACCCGGAGAAAACCCACGCATGCATGGAGAGAACATGCAAACTCCACCCAGAAGGCCCCTGGACCGGGGTTTGAACCAAGGACCTGCTCGCTGAGAGGCAGCAGCTCTACCAGTTGCGCCACCATGCTGCCTGGATAATGATCGATCATACTGATTTTGGTGCACCTCGGTTCAAATCTGTGGAATTTACAGCCAAACGTATTGCAACGGCGTCACTTCTGAATTCGTCACGCCGCCACGCCCACATCCTCATTCATAAACTGTTTGTAATTTAAAGTAAGTCAGACCAACTTGTTATATGTCTTCTAACACAGAATCATCAAAGCAGCGACTGTGGCTGAGTGGTTAGAGCAGTTGTCCTCCAATGCTGGGGGTCGAATCCACTAGCAGTCACATGTTGAAGTGTCCCTAGGCAAGACACTGAACCCCTCATAGCCTCTGATGTGTGTCCCATCAGTGTATGAATGTGATCTAAAAGCACTGATTAGTCTTTTTAGAATGATTTGTTCAATTAGCTTTGTAGACATCTAGTAGAGTGCTGTATGAATGGGTAAATGAGGACACAAATTGTATTGTAAAGCGTTTTGAGTATCTTGAAATAAGATAGAAGGTACCATCCATTTACCATTTACCATCATCCTGATTAGGTCAAGGATGTCAGAGAGGGAGCATTCCAAGTAAAATTAAAGCTGCAAGCAGCATTGAAGGCCCTCCCAGCAAAGCGCCG